CCCGGAACTCATACGTGACAGCAAAATCCACTTCATGGTGGCACAAATGAAGGAGCATAGAAGCTTCGACTTGATGGCATGCCATGAATTTCTGAATGTCTTCTAGAGACAACCTGGCATAGCTGAACATGAGCAAAACCTATGCCGTGCACAACATCGGACATGGTGTGCGCATGTTGATTGTTGGGACTAGTGCTGCCCGCATCCCTCATCCTTGTTCTGAATATGGGTGTGTCTTTCTGCTTTTTGGGCGGAGGGTCCCCTTTTTGTTGGTTTGGAGACAGAACCTATTGGCCTCGGCCAGAAAGTATCGCGGTTTTCTCCTTTCCCAGGGCATGGGTCCAGAAATCTGCTGAGAAAGGCATGCTGAATGGCCGCACCGGAACCGATTTCCTTGAGATGTGGAAGCCAAGGGGACATAGCGCCAGTGAATGCTTTGGCCTTTCAAGACTGGTGACAAATACAGCCTCAAATCGCTGGATACTTCATGTCCAATCCGCACTCTCCGGGGTATGTCCTCAGCGCCTGCCGTAAACCAAAGTAGGCACTACGAGCCTCTATGGCTCCGGTTCGGGTATCCGGGGGAAAGGCTCTTAGAGGCTAAAGAACGGGGGGCGTAGCTCTGCAGTTTTGCCGAAGCGTAACTTCTCGGGGAAGCCGGGTCTGGGGGTTTGTCCCAGAAGGTTTGCCGGCGTATGTGGCGTAGCTCGAGTTTTTTGAAGTTGCAGGAGCAGAAGGGCGGGTCGGGAGAACTGATGGCATTGCGAGACCGCCGCACCTCGGGAGACCGGCTGGCATCTCAACACCTAAGCACAACCGGTCCGAGGCAACAACACGCTCCGAAAAAGAAGTATTGCACCAATATTGCCCTCCACGTGTCCCACCCGCGCCTTCGATGCTGGAGGCCGAGGAAGCTGAGCGGTGGGCGAGCATGGGGAAGGAGACCAGTGGGGGAATGGGAAGCGAAACTTTCAAAACGGGTTGACATCAGCGCAGGCAAGGAAGCACTCACGAGAAGAATGAAGTCCTGAAAGCTTGCACGGCATGTGATTTGACCACAATCAAATTGGCAAGGCAACTCGTTTATCATGCAAAGCCTGTTGCTCTATCTGACAAGTTGCGTCACATGAAATACAGTACTTCGTGTAGCTTCAACATGCAGTCGATTCTGCAGGATGGCTTCCGCCACCCTGGGAGGAGGGATAAAAGGAACATCTGGATCGGCCGGAACTGGCAAATAAGTCCGACAATGCCATGTGTCCAGAATCCGAGAAATTCACCAGCCAGCTTCTTCAATTTCAAGGAGGCTTCCTGCAAACATGTGGCACTTGACATGTGCTGGAGTACGCTCTGCCTATTGGAGTTGTGGGAGTTTCAAGACTGGCCGGGCAGGCTCGCGACGCCTTCGCCTGTGCGTACTGACGTGATGGCTGACATGCGTCATGACATTGAACTGTTGGGCATGCTGATGGCCGGCAAGTACAGTTGAACTGGTTTGCCGAAATCCCTGAACAAAAAGTACCGGGCTACCAAGATCTGCTTGCTATCTCGTCAAGCGTTGTGATTGATAGACTTATATACAGATTCATGTTTCAGCCGAGTCTTACCAAAAGCCCTCTGGCAAAAAGAAAGGTGCCGCATCTAAAAAAATCCGCACAAACTGCGGTGAATTCAACAAGCTCTGCGCATAAAGACCACCAATTCGAGGCCAATTGGAGGACAAGGGAGCCCGAAGCCATGGCAAGAACCAGACGAGAGGCTGCATAAACCTTCAGCTACCTCTGGTTGTTTCGATTGCAGCTCACCTGATGTTGACCCCGTGCAAACGGAAAAATACTCACCCCAGAATGGAGGAACTCTTCGCCCTTCGTATTCCATGGGGCTCGTGATTCGTGCTCCGCCTGTGCCGGTGCTGCGCTCGTAGCAGCAGCGGCACCAGGCGCCTCGGCGGGCGCCTGAACGCCGCAAGCACGGCTTGGCACACTCGGCCGCATGTTTCGACCCTAAACCCACATTACACCCGCACTTACAGAAACCTTAGAGCCACCCAAACCCAACGGCTTGCCTTGCATTGTTGGCGGGCCTTGCCTCTTTGCCTTGTTTGGCCCGCGTCTTTGTGCCCAAGCATGGTGCTGCTGGTGCTGCTGGTGCTGCTAGTCTGATCTCGCACTGAAGGCCTGCCTCATCGGCTTGAGCATCTGTTGCACCCGCGGCGCTGTCACCAGAAGCTTCCTGCCGACAAAGCCAAAGGGAGAGAGAGACAGAGAGAAACAGCTTTCCGCTTTGCGCTTGGCATGCGAAGGTAAAAGTTCTTTCTCGAGTGAGGTCATGCGCTCGCAGTTCCAGTTCAAACTAAAAATAGCTTCCAGAATGGCGCTTGCAGGCCTGTTTTCGGAGCACCACCTCACGCATTTCCGTTCTTCATGTGCCGCTGCATATGCTTTTCAATAGGATTTGAATATGGCGTTCCCTTACTTACGGTTGGGCACCAAACAAACAGTCTTTCGGGGCCCGACTTTGTCTGGGCGGTTGAGTGAGGATTCTCCACATTGCTTTGCGGTTTCCTTTTTGTTTGGCGTTTCACGTGCCACACCAACATCCTTCAACTGGTTAAACAGTGACGTCCCGTAATCGCTCTGGAAATCACAATAAGAGAGCATCTTCCACAAAGACAATCAAGGAACTGTCAACGTGTTGGCTGCCTGCCTTTTGCGGGGCTGTTGATGATTGCACTGCCCTCATGGCAGCAAGACTCTTAAGGCTTTCTTCCTCAAAGGTCATGGAGCATCAGTATGGCTTTCCTGCTCGGCTGAACCCACGCTTATCAGATCAGACAGCATCCACATGTGTGTCAGGGTGCATACTCCAAGTCTAGGGGGAGAGTCACGGTTCGACAGGCACACTCCAACAAACATGAACAAAAGCTCCCTTGAGTCGAGTCACTCTCTCTCTCTCTCTCTTCCCGCAGGTTTCGGCTGTGAATCTTCATCTTCCAACTGAAAACAAGCCAAAGTCGCTCACGCTTCTGCGCTACTGGCCCATGCCCCAGCCTCAGGCTGCGGATGCGGCGCCTGTGCTTGGCTTACCCAAGGGCCCGGTTAAGCACAGGAGCCTGGCACGCAACCTGTATGTAGCAGGCGCGCAGCTCGCATTTTCTGATGGTCAAGTTTGGTGGATGGTGCTGGTGGCTGCTGGTGGTGGATGATATCCATTGCTCACAAGAGACATCCACATTGAAACAAAATGCCAGAAATTGCCAAGTGGGATTGGCAGCGGCCAAGGCCAGCTGTTTGGCAACTGTACCAAATTGTCGAGAAATCATGCTGATCATGGCTCCTGGAGGAAGGACCTTCTAAGGAGTGCCATCCAGCCCCTAACAATCCATGTCCCTGTCCGCACTTGAAGCGTCCCAACAAATGCCCATTGGAAGTTGGTCTCACAATCAGAAGTGCCACATCCTGAGCCGCCTTCAAGTTCTGGCCCCGACGGACTCGGAGCAAGTTTCAGGATACCAAGGCTCACTTCCCCCAGAATATGGAATAACCCGGGAAGCATCGGGTCTAACTTCAACCATGGCCTATCTGCTTTGTAGGAGAAAAAGAAAAGAGCAACACCGAAATCGGCGGTCCCCTGACTCCCCTCATTTCTGAGCCCCCTCCAACGTACGTGAGCACCCATTTGGCTGTGGGTCAAAAATAGGTACCCCAAATGGAACCCTGGTAAATGGAAAGAAGGACTGAAACCTGCGGTCTGGTGGTTTGATTTTGGCCCACTGCAGGTGAGCCGCCCAGTCCCACGCCTCACAGCTCTCGGGCCCGGCGAGCGCCAGGGGCGGCTTCTTCGGGGAGCCGTCGTCCGAGAACTGATGGACCTTGGCGCATGGACGGAGCGGCACCGGGGTCTTCCCTATGGCCTCATGGGGGGAAGAAGCCAACGAGACCCGCAAATTGAAACAAAGCACGGAAGGCTCGTTTATTCAGCAGCATGCGGAACTGCAATCTTCAAGCAATTTGGATCCTGCAAAAGGCGGCCACAACCACCACCGCTACCGCCAACGCCACACCACCAAAACGCAAATCATTGATGACCGCATCCACCATCATAGCTACCTTCCCTGCCAAAGCGAGCTCACATTGTCACATCACAAAATATCTGTGTTTGCTGCCTGTTGCTAAAACACTGTGATTCATGCGACCTTCTACTCAGCTCTCGGGTACAAGTGGCGAGGTCTGTACATTGCAGGCCCGTTGCAGGCACCTCAATTGGATTGGGGGGTTCAAAGTCGATTTCAATAACTCACCAAGTTATCCGAGTGTCCCCCAGTTTCCGATGCAAAGAAGAAAGAAACCCAGCCTCATCATCCTGATCCTCATCCTCATGCTCATGCTCATCCTCATCATCATCACCAGCATCATCACCATCATCATTTGATGATGATCCGTTCCGTTGTCTCCGTCTCAAACCCCATCTAACTCACCCCAGAGGCCGAGCCACGTCGTCGGGCTGAGAGGAGAAGGTCACCCTGGGGTCACCTGAGGCCGCCAGCCCTGCCCTCCGCCCAAGCAGCAAACCCACAAAACAATCCTTGAACATAAACACCTGTGCAAATAGGATTGAGTTCAATACAAGGATCCTTGAACACAACCTGGGCATCTTGAAACAAAGGAGTCAGATTGAACAAAATTGCTGCAAAGTCAGAGATTCGAACCTGCATGCCAAGTGGTGCTCGGAAACTCGCCAGTGGCATGTCTCCTTGCCTTTGTCCAAAACGACGCAGCCGTCGATTTTGGCAAATCTAAGGTGCACTGCGGGGCATGTCTTTGGCCCTGAGCGCAGAATTTAGCTACGATAAGCCTGGCACTTCCGAGGTTTGCTTGGCTCCTAATCAAACATCAGCTGCGAGTAGCTCTTCAAAGCAACAATCCCACTACCGTCTCTCAACATTTGGCAAAGGCCGAAGCAAGCGGTAAAAGAACTTCTACAAAGGGCATACCTCTGCCTCACCGAAAGTCTGGATCGGCCACAAAGTTTGGCACGTGTGACACGTCCTGCAAGGCAAGAAGCCACGCTTTCTGGGCATTGAGGAGCTTGTGTGGGTTGTTCTGTTCCAAGGAACACGTGGCACTCCGAAAGACGCATTGCGTCTGCCTGCATAGGCCTTTTGAAGCAGTTCAGCGAGGCTGTCTAGCCTGTTCGAAATCCTGGGGGCCTAATCGCAATCCGAAATCCGCTTAATCCTTGTGATGTTTGGTAATCTTCTTAATCCGTAATCCGCGCTTCAGACTTTGGGTCACAACCGTATGTTGGAGCATGGAAAATCCGTGCACCCCATAATCCGCAATGCGGAAGCATAATCTAATCCGTAAATCGCACAATCCGTAAATCCGCGAATCATTGGGGATTAGGTTTTGAACAAGCTAGGCTGTGGCTCGCTGGCAGCGCGCCCCTCCATCTGGAATGAAGGTTGTAGGCTCAAGTCCTACCAGCCTCAGTCTTAGCAACATAATTAGCTCCCTGTAGCAGCGAATCCTCGTCAAACTGCCACTGTTGCACCTTAAACCCCGGGATCAGCTGACATGAGTCCTTGTCCGCAGAGAGGCCCATGAAGTCTGTGCGCGCCTCGATCTCGATCTTCTGGCCCTGTTCGTGGATCAGCACCTTTTCAGCAAATCAGTTCCCAGTTGCCCAGACCCCAAGCGACGTCCACCAGCCATGCCTTCAAAGCAAGCCATCTCTGAAATCTCCACATCTCAACACAAGCCCACGAGAAGTCACTTGCGCTTTGAACATCCCCTACGTTACTTTCCCTCGCCAAGAAAGTATCCCAAAATGTTTGGCTTCTTTCTTTCCTGGTTGAACCAAAACAGAACAAGTGTCCCCACAAAACGAAGGCCACACCCTCCCGCTCGCGAGGCACCCGGTAGGTGCCCTGGGCATTGCCCAGCGCCGTGGCCGCGAAGACCTGCCCCTGGCTGCGGAAGGCATCCCCCGGCGCCAGCGCCCGCGAGGCGCCTCGGAAGCGGCCTGGCGCTTCAGCGCGGGGAATTTGCCGCCGCTCCCATGTGGCCATGGGTCAAAATCCAAATCGCACCCCCGGTGAACATCCGATTCAATCCCCACCAAAATAGGTTCTAAAATGGGTGGTGAATTCACCTACCCCAAAATGGGATCCCATTGGTTTTGACCCACAGCCATTTTAGTAGAAATGTGCTTTCGGTGTGCTGGATTGAACACATCAAGAGAAGATGCCCTCAAAAAAGCATGCACCCTTGAGGCCGTTGGGAGCCAGTTTCAAGTACTGTGGGAAAACAACTCCTGCGAGTGGAGTTTGCAGGAAGGACAAGGGAATACTTGCCTAAAGGCACAAGAAACACCAAAGTTTCCTGCAGAACTGGTCTGTCGGGCCCCGTGAATTCATGTTCAGGGTTGTGAACTTATGTCCACGTCTATTTACGGCTACCAGGCTTGGTGGACATCAAACTTACACGTCGATTTGCGGCCGGGGACGGTGCTCCCCGCCTCCCACACCATCGCCCTCGGCCACAACGTGGCGCTGCCCTTGAGCATCCACCACTTCCCAGAGGTGTCCAACCACCTCGATCTCCGTGTCGCGGGCGTTGTTGAACTGCACGTCGTAGGCGAAGTAGTACTTGCCGTCCTGCCAAATGGGTGTTGTGTCAGGGGAGCCCCCAAATCCCAAAAAAGGTGGCTTTCCTTTTGGCTTTCCTTTAGAATCCCCAGAAAGACACACACACACAAACAAACAAACAAACAAACAAACAAACAAAACAAAGAAAACAAACTCAACAAACAAAACAAACAAAACAAACAAAACAAACAAAACAAACAAAACAAACAAACAAAGCAAAAAACAAAACTCTCACACACACACCCGCGCGCGCGACACTTCATGCAAGAAATATACACCTGAGGGTCTCGGAGTCGGCAAATTGCATTTGGTGCAATCAAAACAAGCGCTGCAAATCCACCAACTGCCAGTGCAAGCTGCAGGTGGAGAGCAACCCCCACAGGGTTCCACCAGCGCAATTGCTCTTCAGACAAGGACAGAAAATCTTGGCGCAGTGTTGCCTGTCCTTCCTCAACGTGAACTTGCTGTGGCCCCCCAAGATCACCCTCTCCACTGCCAGTACGCTGGTCAAAGGCAGCATACCTGCCAAAACAGGGACCGCAACACCACACAATCTGAGTGGTTGCACTGGTGGATGGACTCTTTCGATGATTATGGAAAAGCGCGCGGAGTTTTGACCCCGTGTGCCGCGAACACGTGTGTGGCCATTTGCGCCATGGTCAACCCCCCTAATGGTTCTTAGATTGCAAATCCAGCCCATGTCAAAGATTTGAATGCGGTTTGGCCCGGGCGCGGGTGACAAAAGACAAACCAACCCCAAGACCTTCCAGGCCCTTCCTCGTTGGTCCCCTAAAGGGACTTGTCCCTCTGAACCTGCCCTTCGGCCTTTCAACTCATTCTTCCCCTGTATCACTACGTCTGGCTTTAAAGTTGTCCCAACCCCACCCAACCTGCAAAGTTTCAAAGACATGACATGACAAACAAATATTAATATGGCGTCAAAGTAGGTCAGTTGTTTCTCGCTATTATTGTATTTGCCGTTAGTCTTGGTTTTGGCAAGGTGGACTGTCAGCTCTAGGGGGACTTTCTGCTCCTGGAGTGTTCAACCGAGTAGTTAATTTCTGTGGGGTAACAAAGGAGGCCCCGTAACTCACACTGGTTCCCACTTCGTATCTACTCGCTGGGAAGATTCAATGAATGTTCCTAAGAGGTGGTTCCCCTTTTTTACGGTTTTCAAGGGTACCCACTAGGAAAACCACTTCTTCTTCTTCGTCTTCTTCTTCTTCTTGTTCTTCTTCTTCTTCTTCTTTTTGTGGGGGACCCCCAGAACCCACCAGGTGTTGTTGTGTTTGTTCTGGGGGAGGGGGTCCCCATCCACCGAAATCCAACCCTCCGCGCCTTCCTGCGCCTCGTCGATGCAGGGAACCTGTTGCGCCCGGGCAGAATCCGAGAGCGCCAGGCGCGCCACGCGGGCGCCGAAGGAGCGGCCGCGGCCCCGGAGGATCTCGAATTGGAAGCCTCGCTTCGGCGGCTTTTGGCAGCTCGGGTGCCCCTTTGGTGCTTGCTTTCATGGGGAAACCAAGGGGAAAACCACCATTTTCGTGGGGCCCCTCTTAAAAAAAAAAAAAAAAAAAAAAGTGCGCGCGCACACACACACACACATGCACATACCTACATGAAAATAGGGGAACCCGAAACTTGGTGATGTTCTTGTGGTTTTCCATCAACACCATCCAAAAAGCGTACCCACATGGACATGGTTCTGGCGTCGTCGTAAGTTCTTTCAGCAAATCCAAATTCGAGGAAGTCCGCAAGCGTTGCCTGGAAGCTTCGGAGGTTTGCACATCAAACTGCCATGAGCCATGTGACTTGACGGTCAAATCGAAGTCAACCCATCCACGTCCTTCCTCGACCAGAGCCAAAACCATTGAGCTCCGCTCTTCTTCTAAACCAAAGACTGTGAAGACCACGTGCACCACTCATACCTGTGGATGTATTTTCTGGGAAGTCCGGCAGGGAGGTCATTACAGCGATCGGTCTTGGACTCACTTGGACTGGCATAGACAAGCTCTGAGGCGATTGACGTCGAACGCCTGAACTCTTTGCGCCCGAGAAGGACTCCGCAGAGAAAAAGTCCAATCATGTTGCAGTGGGACAAAGTCTCTGCAGCAAGTCCCTTCGGCAGTAGGCAAAGGTGAATCAGATTCGTACACATTCGTGCCAAGTTGCTGCCATGCATGCTGCCGAAGGGCGTGTTCAGGCTGGTGCCACTCCTAAATACAACGAGCATGGCCCGTGCACTCTCCCCAAACGCATCAACCGGATCCAGCAAGTTGTGAATGGAGGAACATGACTTTCTGGACACAATTTGGGGATATCAAGACTTGTCCTCAATAGAAACAGACAAAGCATTGCTTGTGCTTGAGGAACAGTTCCAAGACCCAGGAATTATCACCAGAGCATAGTCATGCCAAATAGCGCTGCAGTTGCATGCAAGCAATCTGGTTTGCTTTCTGCCCACATAGGGACCCAAGGCAAACCGTCACACCCTTCGCACAAAACCACCTCCAGGCTTGGCCGCCCGGAATGAAGCTGGCCGGAGCCCATGGATCTAAGCCCAAGATGTTGGCCACATGTCCCTGGAAGTGTTCGAAATGGTGGATCCCCTTTGGTGGGTGCTTGGATGTGGCCAACCATTTTGGAAGAGCAATTTTTTGGAAGAGCACCCCTTGACGCCACTGGGAGGTCTCCATTGATTTTGCGGCCCCAAACCCAACAAACCGTCGCGCCGTGGCGCTCGTAGGTCCACTCGCCCCCGGGCGGCAGCACAGGCGTCACGCCGCGGGCACCTGCGACCCAGAAGATGCGCAGGCGCCGCTCGCTCAAGAAGTTGCTATGGCGCCCTCGAAATGGGCCGCTTCCCCTTTGGTGTCCCCCAAAAAATCCACCCCAACAATGATGTCCGCCATTTTGAGACGTTTGCTTAGCTTTCATCTCTTTCTCTCCTTGGGGGAAACAAAAAAGAGATACGCCGCATTCAATCATCATATCTGTCTGACAGCTGCCAAAATGCTTTGCGTTGAAGGACACGCCCAGCTGAGCAACCGAACGAAGTCATGGCGTGCGCCTGGACCCATGACCTCCGCTGACAGGCGGCCCAGCGCATCCACAAAGACCCAGTGCCGCGTAAGCATCTGCACCGTCTCCTGAGCTCGTCTGCCCAAAACAAGGGGGATCCGAGCCATTTCGTCCATTTCGTGGGCTCCCAAAAGCCGTAAGTGACGCTGTGCTGCGGCTCGTTGGTTTGCCTCTGGTGGGCTTGCTTGTGGTGGATGTGGGACCAAACGCCAGGCTAACTTTCTCCACTGATCCATCCTGCAAGCAGCAATCAGTGAGTACATTGCTCATTTCTATTTATTTATTCATATATATATATACCTATATATATGTAGAGATCAAAGAGGGCCTGCCTCACCGCGGTTGGTGAAGGTCACAAAGTACTTCCAGGCCTAAGCTTCCCCCGCCCAATCTTCGCCGCTCCGCACGTTCCATGGCTGCTCGGGGGGGCAATTTTTCAAAATTCAGCTCAAGTGCGGGACCAAAGCCAGCAATGCCAGCTGGCTACCACACCATAGTCAAAGAGTCCAAGACGTCAACTTTGACAAACATGACATCGGTCCAAGCAAGGGGACCTTTCGGAAACATAGATAGCCCTGGTAAATGGAGTAAAACCAATCTAAACCAGTGCCATCGATGTCTAACCAAACTCACCCAAAAAGGACACCAATGGGTACAAGAGAAAAGAGGTACAAACCAGGCATGGCCACTGAATGAAACTGAACTCCGGTCTTGAAGAAATCAGGTCCCTTCAGAATCCAAGTGGCATATTGCTCGCCATAAGAGCCTTCAAATACCGACCTGGCAGGGTCACAGCACCCCACATCGGAGAACTCCCTCAACTGGCTGCCCGTATCGTCGCTTGATCCGAACAGTGGATCCTTTCCTGAGATGGATGATAGCCTAACGTAGGTTCGAGCTTTTCCCTTGGCGGCTGGCTGGCAAGTACGCGTTTGCATGCAAGGCAAATAGGGAACGCCCAGAGGGGCTGGCAACGTCGCGTACCGTTGGCAGCTGTTCTGTTATCGCGCACTTATGCAGTTCGCTTTCCAGCCCTCTGTGACCCGTCAGCCAACATCTAAACACCTGGAAAGGATGGCTGTCTTCTCAGGGGCTCAGGGCACAGCCTACTCCAAGCACAAAGCACCTCAGGTCGAGCTGCAGCAAACTGTCAGACTCAACCGCAGACCAAGGCAGGAAAGAGCATGCAACTCATACCCAGCTTCTTTGCCAGAACCATCACGCCATTTTCATTCAAGCGTTGACCGGAAAAAAACCAACATGTTTCAAAAAACCGAACACGCGCTCAAAGCAACTTGTGTGGCCAAAATGGCGTTGGTTTGAATCGAGCAGCTCCATTGTTCTCAACTGCTGCATGCCCCCTGCCTCGTGTAGAGCTCTATGTCGCCTTGGCTCCCGAGCAAAAACTGAAAACAACTGTGCCTGTTGCCTTTAAAAGGGTGGTTTGTCTGAGTCCTAGCAGTCGCGGGGACCCTCTTTAGTGGAACCTGGGGTGGGAGGACCGGGCTCAGATTCCTCGTATCGGGAAGAGCAAAAGGCTGAGGCTTTGATTTGGGATGAACTTCCCGGACCCCCCCACCCCCCCCAGGAAAAAAAAAAGAATCAAAAGGACGTTAAAGCAGACCCCGAAACAGGCATATTAGACCGGATCAGGAGCACTCTTTGTGCGACTGTTTGAGCTTGTTTTTTTTTGTCGAAAGAGTTTGCCTTGAAATTTGATGGTTTGGGGACCACTTGTAAAATTGAATCTCCTAGATCAGATAAAAGAAGGTCCAACGTTACAGTATGGGTGCCAAGCCCCAGGCAGCTGGAGGGGTGTTGTTGTGCTGGTACCTTGCTAGGTCATTATGTGTTTTCAAAGTCAACCTCTCAGACGCATGGCAAGTGTCTTGCACTGGTGTCAACGCTTTGGCATTTGTCCAGTCAGTTTGAATTGCTGTAGCTGACTTTCAATTGTCTGCCAGCAATGTTACAATCGTGAACAAGTTGCCTGGAGGCAGCGTGCGGGATTGCCGGTTTGTCTCGGAATCGCTCTTTTCTGGCTTGCATTGGTGAAACCTCCGCTTCGGCGCGGGGTGAGACATACCCGAGAGCTCAGAACATGATGGTCGCGCCCTTCTTGTTTCGATTCTTCACCTCCTCCTTGCGAGGCCAACTTTCAGAAAGCCCACACTGAAAATGCTGAGGCCCAGTCTTATATACGCTTAGGCTTGAGGCATGTCACTCAACAAAGGACAATCACGCGACAAAATCATCTGCGGATAGCTCCTATACTCTTCATGGGGCTTCAACCTGCCCAAGACCTTTCCAGAGATGCTATTCGCACGCAATGTTTTTGCTGAGGCAGCCTTCAACATGATGTTAACACATGGGTGTGCTCAAACAGGGAGGAGCCTAAAATGGTTCGGTTTTCCCTTCAGTGTCCCTCAACAAGCGCGACACCCGTATCCACCTGACTCCCCATACTCGGGAGCTTGAGGAATAGGTTGCGGCATGGAGTTGTGAGGAGTTTGCAGAACTCATATACCACACATATACGTGGATAGGTTTATATATATATATATGCACCCCCCCCCCCCCGCATGGACCCTGGTTTTACTGCCTGTTGGGGATGGCACATCTAGAATCTCAAAGTTTATATTCTCGAAATGTCCAATGGTGGGTCCCCAAAGCCTGATAATTTGGAGCCCGGAGTCCTCCATAGTGTCCCAATATGATACCCTGTCCAAGTAGGATTCTACTTCAACTAGAATTGGAATGTTGAACATAGTTTAGTAAGGATATAGTTTTCAAAAATGTGTTTATGTTCAATTACAGCATAAATATGCAAATCCTTTCCAAATAGGAGCTACATGAACATGTAAATATAGTTTTGGGTAAACTCCAACTAATCTTTAAAATATGGCTACACATTTGAGGGACTTCTGCACGGAAATTCAAAATACGATTCGTGTTAGAGTCTGGCCCTTTTGTAGCATAATAAAGGTCCGACATTGAACTTGTTAGACAGTGTTCCAAAGGGAAATCTCAAGGGACGAGAACTTCAAATTCTAAAGGTATCTCGAGCAGGTATTCTAGCTAAATCAGTTGTATTTAAAGTTATATTTGCACAGGAAACAAAATTTTAAGTCTATCTCAGAAGGTCGAGGTAGTAGATGAGCAAATGTGGACAGGTAGTTCAAAGGGGGGGGGGACGGTGTGTGAGTGTACATACATACGTACATCTGTATGTACACATACATACACACATACATAGTAGCCCTAATAATCCTGCGCCTCTTCGTAAAATACTGCACTATACAGTGTTTTTGAGCATTACACCTACCTTTCTTTATCTCCTGGAAAAGGGTCAACATGAGCATAGCTGACATGAAGCTCACCAAAGGCACTTGAAAGTTTGTCCAACCAATAACTTGAAAGTGTTTCCACTGGATCACTAAGCACTTGAAAGTAAGGTTCAAGATTGAAGATTACACAGAAAACGCTCCTGATAATTGTCAATCCTGGCCAAACCCAAACAACATTCAAGTTCTTCTAAGACTTGAAAGTGGTTTACCCTTGGATTGAGGATTCAATATTGAGGAGTGCACAAACAACAACTTTCCTGAGAATCATCCATCCTGGTCAACCCATAACGATGTTCAAGTTGTTCTATCACCTCGAACGTACTTTACCACTGGATTGAAGATTCGAGATTCAAATATTCCACAGATGTTTTTTTTCCCGAGAATCTTATTGAACACCAAGAGTATTGAGACAGCCCTGGATTTTGTTTAGTTTCAAAAATTATTGGCTTCAAGATTCAAGATTCCCAGAAAATATTTTCTCAGATTCTTGAATCTTGAATCGTGAATCCATAAATGTTCATTTATTCTGAAAAAAACTGAGTTGTTCTTGTACTCTTGGATGCATTCAAACTTTTTCGGATTGCAGATGCTGATGTCAGATGTCATTGCTTTTCTCACATCTCATATCTTTGTATATAAGGGGTATACTTCTTGGTGGTGCCACACACACACCCTTCTCAGGCCCTCGGTCGAAAAACCGGATCTCGATCCCGCCTGGAACTCCATGGCCTGGCGGATCCGCGCGTCAGTGGCGCAGTCGATGAAGAGCGGCAAGGTGGCCAGCACCAGCGTCAGGCCGCTGAAGCCCAGGCCCAGCATCTCCATGGTGTTCCTGGCCCGGCGCTTGGTGGGTAGTGGGTAGGTTCAGGTAGGTCCGTTCCTGGCCCGGTTTCCCTGAAAAACAAATCAAAAGCCCGGAGAGGGGAGCATCAAATTTCGACGAGCCACCCATGTGTTCTTGTCCACCTCTTGACATGTGAAACAGGGAGGGGAGTCTTAACCCCCGTGTCCTCAACAACCAACAATATACAATAGAGAAGAAATGTGACATTGTTTGGGTATGTCTTTTATGTGGTAATCCCTTTTGAGCTTGCTTTAGGGGCCCAACAGGACAACACACTTTCTGGGGAGTCCCCATTTGGAGGCCCCGCTTATTGTTCCTCCAAGGGGACATATAAAACAATTTGGCCCCCATGTCCTCCCAGAACAATAGACAACCAGCAACCACGATGTGAGCCCCACAAAGCTTGGTTCAAAAGGACACGGGAAAAGAAAACGACCATGTGGAGATACGACGAAATCGCTCGCTTCAAGAGGACATGAGAAAGAGAGGTGGTCTTAGCCCCCCTTTTGTGATGGAAATGTGCGGCCTCCGAACAAGGTGTGCCACATGGGCCGGATCGCCTTAAAAATGGGGTGGGATCTGCTTCGGCTTGGGTACCAGATCAAAAAAAAACAAACAAGGATCAAGAAAACATCGATTTTAGGCGCCCTTCGGCTTCCCTTTCCGGCCAACTGGCGGCCCAACCCCGCGGCCGGCTTCGACTCTTCGACGTGCCCAGGCGCCACTGAGAGTCGCAGGCCGTGGCGTCTTGGATGCAAGCCTCCGGCGAAGGGACGGACGGACGGAGAGATCTGGTCGGGGGTCCCGGACCGCCAATGGGTTCCAAGTCCCTTGGCATCCGCATGGGGGTTGTTTAGGGAATCTCCCGCAAAGCATCCAATGTGCATCCCGGAAGTGCTGGCCCCCGATAATTGTGGATGACACTGGTGAACGAATTGAACCAAACTGAAACTAGCGCCTTCTAGTATCATCCAAAGTGACTAACCTATGCCCAAAAGCGGAATCCGGCAAACAAGGCCCAACGGTGACACGGCCTCTGGCCAAACGTCGTACCAGCCGTGGGTGACGTTCGGTAGCCGGTTCTCCGGCCAGCCATCCAAGAGCAGCAGGGCCGAAAGCTCATCGATGACCTCTCGCAAACAGAGTCCGGCCGGAGCCGGTCATCCGGGTGCCCGCGAGAGCAATGCTCGGATGAATTGCTTCTCTCAACGAAGCCTGATAGATATGAGAGCAGTTGACCATGCAAAACTGAACTGCACAAGTCTCGCCTTCATGTGAGCGCCCAAAACCCAATGATATGGCTACAAAGGGCTGTATAGGCTTTACTGCAATCCCCCACTAAAGCCAGATAGAACTGTAGAACCACCAAATTGTAAATAAGGGTTTTGAGCGCTGCTCCATGTTGGACATTCCAAGCTCCAAACATCCCGCCGTAGGTCAAATCTTTGCTGGCTTCCTACGTCTTTCAGTCATGACAAAGAGGCCTAGGCCCAACATCAAGCCACCGCTTCCCTTTCACATTCCTCCAACTCATTTGAAAGTTCCGGGATAAGGATCCGCTACGAAGATTGACAGCACAGCCGGACCAGCGAGCAAATTGGCAAAGTCAAATCAATCGCTGGCCCGGTGAAAGTGTAATAAGCTCACAATCAATCGTCCATCTCGCATGGGTTATTTGTCTAAAGGAGGTCTGCACCAATGCCCCTGATTCTGCCAAAGCAGCATTCTCAACGGCTCGCCAAAGTGTTCCTATCAAAACGCCTGCCCGAGGCTTGCCACGCCTCGACTGTGGGAGGTGGTACGCTTCGCCCGCAAATGCCCTGACAGAGATCCAGCCATCAACAGTCTCTCAAGCATGCGTGCACGAGCGCGCGCACGCACAAAGCGCACATCAAACCGCACAAGGCATGACTCGCCTTGGCTTGACAAGGATTAGTGACCTGGGTAATGAAAATTGATGAGCGCAGCCCATGTGGCTGTGGGTCAGAAATAGGTACCCAAGATGGAACCCTGGTAAATGGATTCCAGGACTAAAACCTGCTGTGCCCTGGTGGTTTAATTTTGTCCCATACGCGCGTCATCCCTTCAGAATGGTATACGAATATTCACCCCACTATGCAATCAATTGGAAGGATTGCAGCAAACTCTGACGATCTTCAGCCAAGCATGCAGAAAAACACTGTGCAGCACACTACATGGCGGAAGAAAAGTCCCGTCCCACAGCCCCGAAGCTGGCCAATTGATGTAAAAAGTGTTCCTGAACAAGCTATGTAGCAACAGCCAAAGAGAACTGCCAAGCCATTACGACTTGACACTTGGTGACATTGCTGCACGCTGCGTCTGGTTCTCTCCCCTTTCACGGAATCCACATAGCGCAGAGCAGGTCTTCGGTTAGGCCCACCCGATGGCGTCTATCCGCCTGGATGGGACCCTTGAAGTCCTTGCCAGAAACTGGGTTGGTGGCACAGTGATAGATGGGGTCCAGCAGGGGGTCCTGCACATTGCCAAGGCCAAGGCCTCGTTCGGGATGGGGGCCCTCGCCCAATTGATCCGCTTGTTCAGAGGGCAAAGGGGTAGTTCGGTTTCCCTTCAAAGCAACCCCGAATAGGTCAACCCCCCGGCAAAGACAAGGTCATGAGGCACCGAAGCTCCCTTTGCCGTCCTGCTCGCGGCAGCTGACCATGCGGAGGTTGGTGCACAGTGACCTAACACGTGCCGACAGATTCTTGGAGGCACGCCCCCGGAATCAGAAGATAGTTCTGTCACAAGAGCTTCTTGCATCGCAAGCTTGGCACATCGGGACAAATCATAAGATGACCGTTACACATCGCACCGAGGAATCACAGACTCAAGCGCCATCGGCCTAGAGGTGGCCACGGCCCAGCCAACCACCTGGTTCTGGTTCCTCAGATCCAGCAAGGGTAACCCAAGCTGAAGTCATGGGCCACGTTCAAGCTCGCAGTCTCCCACCTGATGAAAGCAGCAAGTCCAGAAAGTCAGCAAAGTCAACCACGAGTCAACAAGTCCATGAAAAGTCCATAAGTCCATAAGTCCATGGAAAGTTCACAAGTCAACGAGCTGCATGTCGCTTGCCGTAGGCCTCGCCTTTGAGCCTTAGCACATTTTTGCTCCCAGGCGCAGGCACCCGGCGCTGATGCGGTACCGCGTGGTGCAGGGCGCCCAGGCCAAGAAGACCGGGGAGATGCGGTAGGTCTCCATGAAGCCCGGGGGCACCGTGGGCTCGACTTCATTACCTCCAAAAGAACATCGAGACGTCTTGTTTTATCTCGTGGCCAGGGTTCATGTCGGGAAAAAAACTTAGGGTTTAGGGTTTAGTTTCTGTTTTTGTTTTTTTGTTGTGTTTCTTTTCTCATGCCAGGTTTCATGTCGGGAACCACGTCCTTTTTCTCATGGCCAGGTGTCATGTCGGAAAAAAGGTTTCCCTGCCCCCTTCCCTAACTCAAAGGATTTGATGAGTGAGGCTTGGATCTGAGGGTTGTCGCGGGGCCTTCTCCGAGGAATCGGTTCCAAAAGCGGCAAGGGGCCAGGGGCTCCTTTTGGTTTTTGTAAGACAAACTAAATGGGGTCCACCATGTGGGTGTGATATCAGAATCGGTGGGGGTTCATGTCCACAAACCACTTTTGAGGTAGTTCCCCGTTACAATTCATAGACATTTGGCAATTTGGGGAGGAAAATGATTGAGCCTCCATGTGTCCGCAAAGGATCCTCGCTTCTTCACTTTTTCCATACTGTATGCTTATCAATCTCCGGGTTGAACATCCCCCCATCC